TGAATAAAGGACCACTTTGAGGAGACACAGGGTTGGGATAATAACAGTTCAAAGTTTTGATTTTTTACAGCACTTCAGCGAACAATAAAAGCCTTGAATAAATAGTTTCATAAGCTAATTTAAATAAAATACAGTATTCTAAACAGCTACCCGCAGTCTACAACAGTCCAAAATAACATTGACACAGCATTTTACAAAGACCATTTTCACTATCAATCTTTTAATGTCATTATTCAACCTGTTCTTTTGACAGTGCTCTTTACACCGTGTTCTCAACAGTTGGTAACCAATGCATATATTCAATCCACATATATATATATATATATATATATATATATAAAAAAATACATTTTTTCATTGAAACATTTTTCTCAGCAGAGTTAAAAGGAAGGCTTAATTATATCCATGCTTCCTAAAGCAAAGGCATATAGACACTGTGGGTGGTTCTTGAAACCCTTCCCTCCCCTCTTCTTGTGGTGGTCCCTAAGAATCTGGCAGCAGGAACAGCTCAATATACAGCTACAAATGCTGAGTCTGAAAACCATAAATTCCCTGGGTTCCCACGGCACAAAGCTCACTACGGATGTCACCACAGACAAGCGACCACCACAATCACCGTGAAGCTTCCAGTTGAATGAAAAGTCATTGGAAAAGAGAAAACCATAGAGGAAAAGGGGGGGGGGGAAAAGTCAACAGATGGAGAAAAAGAGAAAGAAAGAACTCATATTGATTGTGTTGCACTGAAGAAAGGATGCAGTTAATGTCAGCAGAGAATCAATTCACTAAAGAGGGAGGTTAATTGGAAAACTATCTAAATGGCTTTGAAAAGATTAAAAGAATTTTAGAAACCTGCTTATCCATTATCTATTATATCTTTAAGCATACTTTTCATGAGATACTACTTTAATTTCCTTTGTTCAGAAAAATTAAGTAAATCTAAACTTTGGTAACTGAATAGTTTGAAAATCCAGACATGAAATTTTAAAAATTATTTTCAAATAAACCTTTGATAATATATTCTGGTTTGTTACAATATTATTTTAATGCCTCCACCAGAATAAAATGTAAATTAAGACAAAATATACAAGTTTACAAGAAAAATATTAGAAGACATTAAGTCCAAAGAGGACAATATTTAATGTCTGACTGCAATCTATTTTTCCTTCAGAAACCATTTTAACAAGAGTTTCCTGAATTATCGTCATTTTAGAGATCACAAATTGAAGTCAAAGCTATATGATAGCCAGAAATATAAGTTTTTTGGATGGTGGGACAAAAGAATAGTTATGAGAGGCCTAAACTTTACTTGAGAAAGTGTCTAGGGTTTGCACTCTCAGAGGCCCAGAGCTCTCACTGATTTCAAGCACAAGCAAGCAGACTGTTCAGCAGAACACTCATGCTGATCACTGGATTTTTCTGATGCTCCTTTCTATAAAATGTGTGGATTTGTAACACTCAGCTTGCCTGCTATTACATATGAGTGAATTCTCCAGGGAAAAAAGAACTAAATTCTGTTCCCAAAGGCAGTATTCAGCTGCCTAAATTATAATACTTCTTGAAGCACATTCATTCTTGATTTATTCCTTCAAGAATCAGGATTGTGATTTTTCATTCCACACACCTGACACTAAAACACACCCAGCCTGGGCAGGAAGACAAGAGTCTCAGAGAAGACAGAGATGAGAGGCAGAGAGAGTCAGAGATTATAAACTGAATGTAAATATAAGTATGTAAGGAAATTATGACTGTACAGCCAGTCTATAGCTCTGACACCTTGTAAACTTCAAGTATTCAACCTCAAATGGAGACAATTCCTTCAGAAGTAAAACCTTTAGGTGTGGTATCCCATGTTTCCAAAACATGCTTGCAAATAAAACTCTCCTATACCTGTATCTCCTCTGTATTTTGAGCTAATGGAACATCTGTTGACATAGGAAATTTGGTAAATTCTCAGTGATCCAGCATCAGAGAGAAAATTATTTTACTCAATGAGTTTCATGGAGACTTCAATAGCACAGATGTGCTGTGGTTCTGCAGCCTCAGGAGTTTACTCTACTTGATGGAAAAGGGTGATGCTCTTCCTCATTATGGCTGCTAATATTTCTACAGGCAAAACTCAAAAATGGCACTGAACATTCTGGTGAGTTAGTTGGTTTTTTAATAGCTCAAAGCTATATTAGAGCATGAACACTTAATATAGTGCACATTACATTTGAATAATGAATGAATGGATTTAGTCAAGCAAGAGAATAATCAAATTCACTTCTTGGCTAAATTGACTAATCAGTGAACAGAGTATGGTGATCTCTACCAGTTAAGCCTAAACCAGCACTGTCCCTCCCTGTCCATGATGCTTAGCAGTAAGAATCACATCTGTCATGGGCATCTATCTTTTCAGGTTACTTTCCTCTATGCCTGAATCTTTCTTGATCATCCCTCTGTTTTGTTCTAATTTTGCTTCTTCCTTTTTGTCTTTCCATGTTGCCATGCCTAAATTTCTGCTTTGTACTCCTGTCTCCATTACAGCAAACCCTGAACAGGCTTTCTTCAGTCCTTTATCTGACAATCCCCAGCTCCACCTGACCACCTCTTCACCTACAGCTTGTCATTCTGCCAGCACAACCTACCCTTCTTTTCAACTTCTGATTCAATTTGCTTCTCCAAATCCCTTCTCTGAATCACCTGGCCAGCAGGATATCTACTCACCATTCTTTAACAGATGCCTTGCACAAGCTCTGTGCATACTCCACAAGCAACATGATTCTTTTTCTCCCTCATCCTTTTATCATCTCCTACCCCACTTACTCTGCCCAGGTGTTCACATTTATTACGTCAGATTTTGGCTTTTGCCCCAATCTCTTTCATTCTGCCACACTGTTTATAGTCACTCTCCCAATCACATTTAATGATTCCCAGATCTGTCATTTTCTTCTAAATTACTTGCTTAGACTCTTAGCCCCGCCCTCCACAGGCTCTGTGTATCAGCCTACCCCCACATCTCCTCAGAAGCCCAGGCTGTTTTCTGCATTTTGCTCAGACAGCTTCCCCAGCTCTCCAGCACACCAGAAGGGGAGAATGCCCACAATACAGGAGGAACAACTGAATGACACTGCAACACAAAGCTGTGTTACAGCAGAAAATGTGCCGAGTTCTGGATAGCTCACACCCATCTGAGGGACCAGATCTATTAAACTCTGAAGTTTGCAAGTTGCTCAGTGAAAACTGGGCCAAAGTTAAACAGATGTATACAGTAACAGAGAAGCACATTCCAACACTCCAAAACCCACTGAATTTCACATCCCTCCTTTTATGTGTAAGAACAGTACCTACTTTCTCTTTTTCCAACTTTTTTTTTGTCCAGCTTGAATAAATGCAAGCTTTTTTAGCTTTTAACAAAAACAAAGCAAGCAATTAGCACAGCATATTTCTGTTCTGCTGTCCAAGGTTGGTGCTTTTGTCAACATCTGAAAAGAAGGCCTACTGATGGGAAGCATCATCACTGCTATTCAGATAGAATTGTACTACATTCACACTTTCTATAAGGGTAGTTAAATGGCACGTTCACCATCTGCAGCTTTGGCAAATCTACATAAAAACTGTCATCCCTTAAATCCTGGAATAACTTGCGCATAAATGCTTATGAGTTTCTTTCATTTAATTTGTGCTCAACTGCCTTTCATGTTAAAATGCATCCATCCTTCTCGACGATTTTTTAAAATTCCCTCTGTACCTTTCCAGTAGGGTGTGTATGATACTGACAGTTAAGTACTTAAAGATGGTTAAACTTGCTGGTGCTAACATTCATGTATCCATTGGTATCTCCCTTTATCTTCTGGACAGTTAGTAGAAAGCATTACTTAAAATAATGCTCCAAAATTTAAAAGAGCTTTATGAAAAATGGACACGTGGTTAGCAATACTCCATATTTTTCTTACCTTCTGTTATTTTTGGAAATTGTTCTCATATGTTAACAAGTATTAAACAAGGGTAAAAAAAAAAAAAAGTACTTTGATATTTCAGTGAATTTCTAAGATCCTGATACTGGGAGAAATCTGTGACAACTGTTTAATTTTGAATGAAGCAACTTCTGTGTACAACAGAATCTTGCAGAATTCTATATTGATTTCCAATTCAGTGCTTTGCTGTTAAAAGATGCTGATACTACACCAGGAAATTCTGTGCCAAGATTTTCTCTAGAATATCACACATTTCTCTGAAGTTCCTCATTTACAGGTAAGGCAAGAGCAAGAACAAATTAAAAACCTTTTGCATTAAATAATTTTGATCTTAATTTGCAGAGTACATAACTGTTACCTTTATCCCCTGCAAAACGTGTATCATAGTTACAATACTTGTAAGCTTCGAGACTAAAATTACATCCAAAAAATCCTATTTCCTGAATAAGTGCAGATCAACAAATGCTATTGTATGAAATAATGTTACACTGATTGCTCACACAATACCAATTTGTAATCATAAATAAACTATTATATACTTGTAAAAATCTCTTACTGGTACATTTTAGAAGGTTGGACTTCAAGAACAAAAAAAAGCATTCTGAAAACATCTTCAATTTCTATCAGTTTTGGAATTTTACATATAAAAAGTTTTTGGAATACAAAATTAAAGTAACTTAAAATCTGCTGACACTTTCCTAATTTTTTTAAAGTGCAGAAAATAATGTAGATATTTCTACTATGATCATCATAACAGCAAAAGAGTACAGGAATTTCAGAATAAAATTTCTAGAGATTAATTCTTTAGGAGTGACTAAGGACTCAATCTTACCTTCTTGAAACCATGCAGGGCACGGTAAAGAGCCAGGAATGAATGAAATCTGAAACTCTGGTACTGACATTTTAGTTCTCTCTCCAAAATAGTCATGTTAAAAAAAAACCCAACAAAAACACAAAACAAAAAAAAAACCCCTCTACCATAAAACCCAATAAATCAACAGAAAAAGAATTATCTTATGGGACAAAAACTTATTTCTGCAGTACCTTCAGTGGTGATAGCACTAGGACACACATCTTTTAGCAGGTCTCCCAAAGTATGCAACTGTCCTCCTGAAGCAATTGGTCGAAATAGCTTCTGTATAAAAGGTCTCTCTGTTGTTGCCTGTTTCAATAAAAAATAATCAAACCAAACAATTAAAGGACCATGCAAATATGTAGTATTAGCACTTCAGACAGGTACACAATAGGACAGAACTAAAGGTTGCACCAGAAGAAACACCTGGTATTTCCACATTCCCCCTGCCCCACACCTTACATTTCATTCATATCATGAAATGCAGGGAAGTTTTTGTTTATTAACAATTACAAGTGAGCTGTCACTCCAGAAAAACTGTGAAGATAATTCACAGACAGTGTCATGGATACAAGAGTGTTAATTATTTTTTTAAAAGCCCCAAATCTTCTGTCATGGGAATACAACCTGCTTTAATAAAACCCATTTTAATATATCCTTCATTAAAAAAAAAAACAAACAGTGAGCACAAGCTTAGGAGTTCAACATATCCTTATATATTTTGCCAAGCCAAAGCAATACTTTACCCTTACAGATCAACAGGTGATTTTTTTCTCAGTTTTTCTTAATATCAAAATTTTCAAACTATTTCAGCTGCAAGAACCACTACCAACTTACACAAGAAAGTGTTATGCTTTGACAGACAACCTAGAATCTTCTACTCACTTAAGGAACCAGTCATATGCAAAGAACATATATGGCCCACTTCTGCTGCAGATATGCAGAGGAATCCAGAATTATTTCAACTACGTATCTTTCAGTTTGAAGCCATTCCCTTTATCCTATCATCACATGATCCCGTAAGAAGTCCCTCCCCAGCTCTCTTGCAGGCCACCTTGTCTCTTTGGAGTGTTGTCTTCTCCAGGCAGATCAAGCAGAACTTCTTATTACCCACATGCATGAGCATAGTTTCCAGCACGATTTGCTCCATGATCTTTGTTGGGCACTAAAGTTAGACTGACTGGCCTGTAGCTCCCCAGGTCATCCTGATTTCCCTTTTAAAAAAATGGGGTTACATTTTAGTAGGAACTTCACTGGACTGCCACAACTTCTTAAATATGATGGATGGTGGCTTAGCCACTTCACGTGTCACTCTGCTCAAGGTATGTGGGGGTGTCTCCCACCCAATTCCATAGACTTGTGCACTTTCAGATTCCTTAGCTGTTCTTGGATCTGATCTTCCAGAGTGAGCAGTTCTTTATTCTCCCAGTCCTGCCTTTTCCCTTCTGGGACTTGGGCAGTCTGGCTGGAATATTGGCTGGTGAAGACTGAGGCAAAAAAGACACAGAATACTCCCACATTCAGGGTAAACAGGTGCCCCGTTTCTTCTGGAGAGGGCTCACAATTTTTCTAGTCTTCCTTTATCCCTGACATTCCTATAGAAACTCCTCTTGTTGCCCTTGATGTCCCTGGTCAAACGGAATTCTATCAGATCTTCAGCACTTACTAAAGAACTGTGGTTCTGTTAAGGTAGCTCTCTTCTTTGGCTATCTGTAAAAGCAGCTCCGGGGCAGCAAGAACCTGACATTGCAAAGACAGGCAAAGTTTTTTTTTCCTGGTAACCTGACATTGCCACCCAAACCCACCACCTGAGGCAGAGAAGTTAAAAATCTCATACTCAACCAACCCAAACATTTTAATCTTGCTCTAAATGGTTGCTGACAATTTTCTGCTAGCAGCTAACTCCCAAAAGCAGCTGATGTGCCCTGCATTGAGGATGAGTGGGCTCCAGCAAATGAGACTTTCATCACACATTATTTTAATTGGAACAAGCAATACAAGCCATTGCCCCTTTCAAATTTAGTTTCCTACCTCTCAGAAACTATCTCCCATCCTATTATGGTAATTAAAAAATAGAAACAACTCAATATCAAGAGGTATGTTCTCTCCCAGTGGGGGTTTATGGGCAAAAAACAATCACTCAAACAAACAAGTAAAGAACAACACAACTGTCACTCACAGGCAGGGAGTCTTTGCCTGAGTGGTGCTCTAGCTCAGAGGTAATTCCAGGGCAGTACAGTACAGAACTGTTGACACACTGCAAGTAACAAGGAACTACTTGTTACTTCTTGCTAACAGTCTTCAAATAAGGAAAAATAGCATTTTCCCAGTTTTTCTCATGAAGAATAATCAAAAGTAGTTTCCTAGCTGCTCCAATCACTTCCCCATGTCCTCAGGGTACCAGTATGGGGATATCATCAGTGCTAATGAAATATCTGAACATTTGAAAAATTATGGGAGGCACACAGCCAGCAGGATGTATCCACTTCAGACAGATCCACACTTAAAAAGTGAACTCTGAACATTATGCTGAACAAATATACAAGCAAAACATTAAAAAAAAAGGAAAAAACCCCAATCCCTCTAAAACATTGTTTTAGTCAAAACAATTTTGTACCAGGTTTACTTTTTAAAAATAATTGGATATTCACAGAAGTCTAGTCATAACTCCCAAGTGTTTAACACCCAAAGTAGAAGTGGAAATAAATGGAAGTATGTAGTCAAAGGTTGTTATCATCAACAGACTTTTAAGATAAGAATTTCCCAAGTGCGCGCTGCAGTTTCTCATTACTTATTAATACATTAAGAACAATATTTTCCCTAGCTATAATAATTTAATGCCAAGAGGGAAAAGCCAAAATTGTATTTTCTCAAGTCTCCCACATAGTTGCTGACTGCTGCAAACAATATCCTTAGCTTCTATCATGAAACATTATAGAAAAAGAATTCAGTTTTGCATTTTAAGTGTTAAGCAACACAGATGTGGTAAAGTAAATAAAAATCACTGGTCTTCATCAATGTTAAAATGATAAAAGTAACTGCCTGTTGTTTATACAAAGACTGTGGTTCACAAATCTAATCCTACAGGCAGAGTATTACCCCAAGATGCTTACACACTTCTTCCCTCACAAGCAGCAGATGCTTTATGCATTAAAAGAATCAAAAGAAAAGTCCCATGCTACATTCCACAGTATTTACAGGATAACTTTTCCAAGTGTCTTGGTCATACAGGAGCATAGTTTTAGAACAACCTTGCCATCACCCTTTTTCATGTGTAGCAATGTAAGACCAGCTTGACTACAACTTTCTACTCCAGTATTGCCATCCCTGCAAGTCCTGGCCAGGCTGGGTGGAGCTTTGAGCAACATGGTTTAGTGCAAGATGGCCCTGCCCATGGCAGGTGGGGTGGACTCAATGACCTTTGAAAGGCCCCTTCCAACTCCATTCCAAACTATTCTATGATTCCATTTACTAGAACAAGACATGAAGGAACAGCCACCATGAATAGCTGCTTTTATAATGCTGTGTTTTGTAAAATATTTGCTTAATCAATCATGAGAAAATCTAATCGAACCCATAAAGATATCACTGCATAACTGATAATGGTTTTAAATAATCTACACCAGGTCTAAAGCAAATGTTGATACAATATCTATCCTTTTGCCAGCTAAAATGACCATACCTTCAACAGAAATTTGGAATTTTAAAAATTGTTTTATTTTACAGTGTAGCCTCCATGTCGCTGTGAGCTGTTCAAGATTCTGGATGCATTTGCAAGACACAACAGGTGAAAGTCAATCAGCAATTGCCAATCCCTGCACAGAAAATGCCTTCAGGTATATGAGCATAGGAAGACAATCACTCAGCCGACATCTCACAAATGCAGAACAAATGAAGATTTTACTCTTTTTAAAAGAAAGTTTAAGCCTTGACAATGATAGGAGAGTGAGGGTGAAAACAAATTACACCACAGTGAGAAAGATTAAAGTTACCTATTCAGGAACACTGGCACTGAGAAGAGTTATAGGTGAGGGCAAGTTTTAAGAGGCCCTCTAATGCAGTGCAAAGCCTCACAGGATCACAGACAATCTACACAGTCACATACATGCTATGCTAACAAATGTAACTCTTTCCTCCCTATTATCCTGGCAAAAAAAAAAAAAAAAGTTGTCAGCTTGCCTGGTCCTTTTCAGAGTCAACACAACATCAAACACTGCATGAAATCCACAATTTAATTAGTCAGATACTTTACACAGGATGCATCTTAAAATGAAAAACATAACTCACAAACCACTGGGTTTAATCTGGAAAAATCAGTTACCACTATTTTCATCAAGAGGAAGGGATTTGGATTTTTCTGCCTAAACACTCAGCTGCTCCTCAATATTCAAACAAATAAAAGTTACCATGCATACTGAACCCACAAAGTAAAAAAGACGTTCTTACAATCCCCACAGGTGTATAAGCTGGCAACCTAAAACAATAAAAGCTGAGACCTCCCTACATATTCCATTATATTTTCAGTAACTTGTCAAATTCATAGTCTGTGCTGCTTTGTGATGAACAACTTTACATTAAAAAAAAGCTCTCTTAATTTCATAGAACCACTTTGTTTAAGCTTAAAATCAACCAAGAAGCTTTAGAAGTAAAAAGAGTTTGCACAATAATGCTAGTCCTTGTATACAAAAAAGAAAGAACAGGAAAATAAAATTATGCAAATATTTGCTAAAATACATTTTTTCCATACATTTCTACCTTGTAGAAATCTTTTCAATTAAGAATCTCAATGCACAATTTAAAAGTGACTAACTGAAAAGCTGATGAGTTGCTATAGTCACAGAACAATCACAACACCATGCTTGTCCAAAAGCAAGATACTGCAAATCCCCATCTGAAATACTGTTCTTCCACTGGTGCTGAAATTTTGGGATTTTGCTGGAATTTCAAGATGACTTCTTTTTGCTTAATATTAGACCAGACTCATTGAGTATTTAATTGTGGAGATGGTACAACAATGTTTCTGGGTGGGAGTTGATGGGGGTTTTTTTTGTTTTGTTTCTTTCCTTTTAAAAAAACCCTTCCATCTCTTTCATAAAGATGATTTTCAGCTCAACAAGCTTAAGTACACACAAAAATGATCTTGTTTAATCTATTTGAAATCTGTCACCTTTCAAATTCCATTAATATTTTTGAGCTTCTATTACAAGAGGCATAAAACATGACAATGGGCTATGTCTTTATCCTGTAATCATTGCTCCTCTCCTCTTCAAATCTTCCAAGTAATATAGGGCTTCTCCCAGACAACCCAT